AGATAGATAAAATATATTATCTTAAAATATATTATCTTGAAAAGAGAAAATTATATTATTTGGATATAAAAATAATACCTTGGTACAATTGAGAAATTTACTTTCGAAGATTGCGAAGCTCTTTCGTTTATTTAAGGAATGTACTTATTGTATAAAACTGTTAATATTTATTTTCGACACGGAAAAAATAATTTTGCTAAAATATATCCATAAAAATATGGATGGGTCAATAAAATTTTTGTGGCAGATACAGAGTCTTTATCTTAAAGATCAAGATCTTTAAGAATTTTATTGAGCTTTTCATATATATAGCCATCATATAACCGGGTTATAATGAGTGAATATATTGATAAGAAAGTCGAAAAATTCCAGCTGTGGATTACAACATTTTTAATCCTGGAATCATAAAACGTAAATTTGATGCACACAGTTCATGATTCTAGGTTAAAAATACTAACACAGTTACATATTTACAGTACATACTTTTACAATCGGCAGCTGCAGAGGAATTCTTCGATTTTCTTATCAATATATTTGCTCATCATGAGTCACTGTGACAAGCAATAGATTACGCAACTCTCTGTGCGACTAAATATGCGTGAACATGTTCAAAAAAGAAAAGACAAGTGTGATAGCACTAGTATTGCTGTACCAGTAGCTGCAGAAAGGATTTTGACAAAATTTTAAGTGTTTCGTTGAAAAATTAAAATTAAAATGATATTGTGATTGATATGTATATAATTTTTTAGACGGTTTGCTACAATATATGAATATCAATTCGTTTTGTTTCAAACAAAAATTTGAAGTTCATTGCTAGAATATCAAAATTTTTGATAGAATTTCTACGCATACTTTATATGAAGGACATTCTGAGAATATCTTTAGGATGTCCTTTGAACATTTTTTGGAGGCTTATGTTGTATGAATTATCATCTTATTTTATTGAAGGGACAATAAACTAAAATGCAAAATTCCTTTGTCATTTAGCAAAAATGTTTTTTTCCGTATAAATAATTTTTTTTATAAAAATCCCCTATATGAATACTTTTTGCATTCATTGTGTGTGTGTGTGTGTATGTGTGTGTATGTGTGTGTGTGTGTGTGTGTGTGTGTGTGTGTGTGCGTGTGCGTGTATATGTGCGTATGTGTGCGTGTATGTGCGTGTGTGTGTGTGTGTGTTCTTGAGATAAATTCTTTATTACACTATCGTGTCAACTTCTTCCATGTCACTTATTAAGGATTAAGAAGTATCTGCAATCGTCATACACGACACTCCTCGAACTCTCTACATACATTTGTAAACGAATTCATCCTCAACGATTTAACATTTCATGAATTTACATACAACATTTTTTGGCCTATATTCTTATCGGGCAAAAAATTTTAATGGCACCGTAAATACAGAGAAACATGCTTGTTCTCTCATTTCAATATTCATTCAACTTTCGCTTGAACCGTTTGTGTCTGACGCGCTCGGTAATTCCTCGAAGTGATATGTACATAATTATATAGTTATAAATGACATAATTAATGTTGAATAGTTCTGTCTTAGGCTGTTAAAGTTCAGTTAAATGCACTTTTCGTCAGAAAAGAGATTTCCTCTATCCTGCGAAATTTTCTTAAGTTACGTATTAAGAGAACGCGCGAGTATTATACTTTCGTTTAGATCGTTTATTAGGTTTATACGTAATGATAACTACTTTAGTGCGATGAAATCGATTTTGATAGTAAACGAGTACTTCCGTATTGTATTTAATTGCTCGACACACTATGTACGTTTTTGATAGCGTGGATGCTCAAATTGTAATTTGTCCTCGAACTTGAGCATTGTCGTAATACTTTTAGCGATTAATACTTTAGACGTTTACTAGGACACAGTGTACACAAGATTCAAAGCGTTTAAATAAAAGCTTATTTATTGCCGAAAAAAGATGCGTTCTCTTCTATTATCTTTGATATTTCTCTAGAGATATAAATTGTAGATATGTTATGTAAGATTCACGACAAAGTTTTAATAGGTATTTCTCAAAGAACTCGCAATTCTACAAAGATCTCTTTTGAGAAACAATTACAAATTTGTACAAAAGGCTTATCAAAATTTATGAACTTTTTAAAAATTTATGACTAACAATTAATTTATATAACAGAACTTAATATCTTCTTGAAATTTTGATACTTAATTCATTACTATATGTGAATGTATGCGTTAATATTTTATCGAGCATATCATTTAAATGAATTAGTATTGATTTTAGTGTTAATAGATACACAAATATTTTGTATCTTTTCATTATATACGTACAAGAAATAATCTTGATTATCACTGCAATATCGTATTTAGTACGCTAGTAGTCGCTGTTTACAAGGCATAATGCGATCATCGAGCCCTCCCACGTAATATACGGCAAAATCTTATCTGTTATAGTGAATTACCGAGTCACATAACGTCAGCTCTTTAGTAGAATGTACTGGAGTGCACGGTGCACACCGAGTCTTACATCACGTGCGTAACTTGCTTCTTTTTTTTATATCTTTTGATATGGCTGCTTGTCGAGATAAAAAATTCAATAATATATGTCATTTAGAGAATATGAATGAGAATGTTTTGACAATGAAAAATTTTGACACGTGTGCAAACGAAACGGAAAATCATAACATTGACAATACGCCGCGGGAAACAACCGAGTTTCTCGTTAAATATCGCGATCGCGTTTATAATGTTCACAATTTCTTGAATAATCATCCTGGAGGAAAAAACACGCTTATGCGTCTCAAGGATCAAGACTTGGATAAAGAATTAGCAAAAAATCCTCATTCAAAGTCTGCTTACTATCTTCTCGAAGAATTCGCTGTACAACATCAAGTGAGATACAATGAATACGAAGTAAGTGATTTATAAATGAGAAATAACAAATGACATTGATGTCATTAAAAAAATGTTATTATATGTGTACCTTGTATTATATATCCGCAGTTACAGATCACTTTAAACAGTCAGATTGATAATTTATATTTCCCGTTGACAGATACTTTATTTTTAATTTTATATACAGTGTGAATTTTTTAAATATGTATTTATGTTATATTCGACTTGTATATTTCGATCCTAAAAAAATATATTTTTGCTATACATATATCAAATTATAAAATAATATATCAAATTCAATCTAAAAATCGTTAGTTATGAAAAAGTAATTATTAAATTATGACGAAAATATTTTCGTAATCATAAAAAATAAAAATATTCGTTATATATACAATACGTAACATCAAATTTATCTAGTAGGCTTGGTTTTTATCTTCAAGTTTATCTCTATATTCTACGAAACATACCATTTACTATGTACAGATAAAAAAAATTTAAGATAAGTCTATATAAAATTGCAGAATGTCCAGTTTTGCGTGCAGTTATTTTTAAATCAATGAAAAAAATGTATACCTAGGTAAAAGGCAAAGCTAGTTGCATGCTAATTAAATTAATGCTTTTAGTAAATTACCGCTTAGGAAAATTATTTTTTTTTCAAAATTTTTTAAATTTTATTTTATTTCAGAATTTAATAAACTGGGACAAGCCTATTTTATGGCAAGTAGGTTTTATGGGCGAACAATATTGGGAATGGGTAAATCTGCCAGTAAACCGGCCTATTCGATTTTTCCAATCAGACATTTTAGAGAAATTATCGATTTCGCCATGGTATATCCTGCCGATTATCTGGCTACCCATAATTACATATTTTTTTTATATGGGCTGTGTCTTGAATGTTTCAACAAATATTGGTAATTCGTATTTTACAGTAAAAAAATATTAAAAATAGTAAAGTAAATAATAAAGAAATAATAAATATGTACGAACATTTTTTTATGTATATTCTACCATAAAGTATGTATATTCTTTTTGTGATTACAGTGCAAAATATTTTACCATCTTTCATTCTGGGATTATTTATATGGACTATTTTAGAATATTTCTTTCATCGAAAAATATTTCATTTTAGACCACCACATAATTCGAAAATACTGATTACACTACATTTTTTAATGCATGGAAATCATCACAAGGTAAGATTCATAAATCTATGATATATTTTAAATTAAATATTGATTTTCAATTATATACAAAAGTTGTGCCAATAGGCACCGTTGGATGATCGAAGACAAGTATTCCCACCGATATTCGCTTTATTTTTGGCAGCAATTGCTTGGGAAATTTATAAGGTTATTTTTCCTATGACATTAGTTCATTTTATTGCTGCTGGCAGTACAATGGGTAAATACTTTATGTATTTATATATTCATAAATTTTGTCAGAAATTTTGTCAGAAAATATTATAGTTACTTAAAACATCAGTGGCTATATCTACTTTTACAGGCTATTTGGGTTACGATTTAATGCACTATTATTTGCACAATGGAGCACCGATGGCAGAATCATATTTATATATAATGAAAAGAAAACATAACTATCATCACTTCGTACATCATGAACAAGGTAATTAATGCAAATTACTATTAGTATACAAAGAATTAATCATTATTGTATCATCTTTTACAGGATTTGGAATTACTAATGGATTATGGGATCGAATACTTAATACGGATCTAACTTTGAGAAAACTAAAAGAACCTTTAAAATGGTGAAATAGTTAAAAAAAAATATGACATTTATATTTATTGATAATATTAATTTTTTATATTTTTATTATACGAATAATAATTTATTATTGATATAATCGCAATTATATAACTGTAATTATATAAGTACAGAATATTATTTTTATAATTTAAACTTAACTACATATTCAGTCGATTTAAGTACATATATTTTTGAGATTCATTAATCTTTTATAAATGTATTTACGTGATTAAAAAAATCTTTCAAATAACAATAAAAAAAACGTCACAAAGTAAAATATCGACAAATTTGTATTTTATAGCTTTGTATTTATTTGATTAAGTAAATGTAAGATTAAATAAGGCTTTAAACTAGAAAAGTTGTTGGTGTCTTAAGTACATAACTTGATATCTTAAATACATAATCATGAATATAAGTCCATTTATCCCATTTCAAGCTTAATATCACAAAACGTCCAAAGTTAACAGAAAATATATATCGTTATTGAGATCTCAAAGCACATTTGCATTGTGGTTTTTAACCACGCATTAAATACATTATACCTGAGTACAAAATTCACAAGGGACTCATATTGCCACTATCTAGATCGACGCTAATTAAATTTCTAAGTGACTACATCACTGTGCTTCGGCCTTAACAGTCTTTCTGCCCATACTTAATTGCGGAAATGTACTTTTATTAGTAGGAGGATTCAGCTTGGACGATAAATGTACGAATGCCTCAAACAGAGTAGATCTATCCATGATGTTTACCTCATAATGTTTAACCTTTTCTCTGGTACACCAGTTAGTTGCCTTGTTTACGGTATTCTCTAAGTTATTCAATACAACATCAGTTTTGATTGTCCGATTACCAATTACGATCACAGTTATCTCCTTTTTATCCTTGTTCTTGTCAATATCCTTCTTTAGAGGGAAGAGCACATCTAGAGATTCAGGTTTGCCAGTATCGTATACTAAGATGTAACCATCGGCGAAACCAAGATAATGTCGTGGAAGCTGCTGATTATTTACATTACTCTGCAGAGATTCAAGCCCAGCTGTATCATAGAACCTGACCTTCTCTTTTGTGCCCCGATCAGTCTCAATGTTGGCGACATAAATGTCTTCGATTGTGGGATGAATTTCCTGCAATTAATTAATTATTACTTCAATATTAGACCACAGATATATTTAAATGCACAGGCAATAGATACAGGGAATAACACACACGCAATAGGCTTCAACCTACCAGAAATTGCTGTGTATTGATACGGTTTCTGATATTGCCTGTGTATTATTCCTGATTTCTATTGTCTATACCATCTGTAATAGGCTGATCTAAAGCTGATTCTACAATGAGTTCGTAGTCGGAAATCTTAAGTCTTAACTAGTTTTAATCTAAATAGATGACTATGATTTTTTGCATCTATTAGTTGTTAATTGTATAGCGAGTCGTTTAATTCGACTAATAGGAAGGAATAAAGTTGAATTTGATCAAGAAAGACTTAAGAAAAACGTCTTAGTCGCACAAGTTGACTATTGGCCGATAAGACTTAGGACTACCGATTACCGACTCATTGTAGAAGCTTAAGATCTTACAATCCATAAAGTCCCATAAAGTAGGCATGGAGGATTTCAAAGTGACATAACCTAAAATACATACCGTTTTTGCGTCGATATTTCCATACACGAGCTGCTCTAGCAGGGCGGTTTTGCCAACTCCTTTCATCCCGCAAACGACTACTCTCGTAGTTTTCCCCATATCTAAATCTTCGTTAAGTACCGATTTCTTCGCGTAGCGATGACATTACATAGAATAATAGAACACTGTCTGACACCTAGCGTTCCATTCCTTGACATATGTTGCCATATGTCAAGTGTGCGTCAGGCGCGTGAGAACTAGTGCAGGGAATTGTTCGCGTCATTCGCGCGTGGGAATCAAAAAATCAAAACTGTCCCGTTGAACAAGTAAGTTCGACGAGTAACCAACGAGAAATACAAAAAAAAAATAATATAATGAAATCTATGTATTGTTTATATATAAGAGTGTCTTTAAATTAAAAAATATTTTTAGAATATCAAAATTGTGATAATCTATTTAGAAATACATATAATATTTAAAAATATAATATTTTGCTATAAATATTTGTAAAAAAAGAAAGTTCTAAGGGCGAGGCTATGGCCAGAATTAGACATCATGATTTATAATTTCACCTTTTAATATTTCATTTGGGAGGATTCCATTCTAAGAAGCGTGATGAATAAAACTATTTATTTATATTAATCTATTACTGCTGTTTACCAGAAAATACAACCTCTCTGAAATCATTGTTCTCAGAATAGAAGATCTGCTCATTCGATTGTTTATCGTTTGCATATTTATGCATACTTTGAATTTTCGTTTGCACACTTCTAATAAGAAAGTTATTAAAAAAACAATTTTGAGAAGGAGGAAGACTAACTTCACACTTGTCCTCCAACTTCGAGCAATTTGGATCTTAATCAATAGATTTTCGCACATTTCGAAACAATTCGATTGTTTTTCTTATGAGAAGTGTGTAAACGGAAATTCAAAGTGTGCATAAATGTGCATACAGTGAGTAATCAAATGAACTATAGAAAATTAATTTTCTCAAAAGTTGGAAGGCCAACTTCACACGAGTGATCTATTAGTGATAATAATAATATCCGTCGACTTAGCTTGCTAGTTTGGAAATTTTGACGAAGAAGGAAGGAAATAAGTAGTCAGATTATGAAGTGATGATCTTTGTTCGTTTTTATTTATTCTTTGTAATCTCATTTGCAAATAAAATTTATCTCCGTCAAATTTATAATTCCGCTCTCCATCAGATCCTACTAATGAATTCATTTATTGCTTCAAATTATTGTCTATGTCCTTGCTACATCCTTATGAATATATAGCACAGTCAGATTGGGCAAGTTATTGCCCAACGCTAACTTTTGCATCATATTTAACTTATATTTAATTTTTAATTCAATTCTTTAATTTCCTGAGTGTGGATTTTTAGGCTGCGCTAAATTTTGGGTGTGAAATCCACAATTTCACACTATAATTACAGATTCTAAATTTTCGTATAAATATCCATCTGTATTAAAGTCACCACGACGGTCAAAACTGACGAGTAATACTGAAAAAAAATGTTTTTATTATACTTATTGTTAGTAAAAATAGCTTTGTCATATTAAAAAAAATATAGTGTAAAAGAAGATTTTGAATATGTAAAATAACAATCAAAGATATAAAAACGCAGTTAATTGATAAATAATTTAAATAATATGCTGCCATTTAGATATATATGTAATTTTAATTGTGAAAAAATAAATATATACGTATTTATGTTCTATTACATGTTTATATACACTTGTTCAATATAAAACGTACCTTCGAAATGAAATTATAACCAAAGTAGACAAGTCCCATGCCAAATTTTATCTCTCTTTGCTTTATTTGCAGTATAAATTGTAAAATCTAATTAAAATAAATAATTGAACAAATGTTTAGTTATATAGAGAAAAGCCCCCTATTATGAAATAGGCGCCTAATATGAGATAACAGCGTTTCCGCTAAATTAATAAACGCTATCTATTGATTCCACCATGAATTTATTGTTCTTAGATTGAAAACTATTTAGTGAAAAATTCATTATTAGATCGTGTCTGTAGTCGTTGCGAAAAAAGATTTTAAAATTTGGATATCTTCAAGTGTCGTTGAAATGAGCTTTTAAACTTTTTGTTTATTATTTAATAAGTAAATATTTGTCAATAAATTCTTCATATAGTGAGAGTAGGTAGTATCATAGAGAAGTCGTATTAATAGATAGTCGTATTAATAGAAAAATACGTGATATGTGAATTAAATTGCTTAATTACAGAAGTTAGATTTGATGATCGTAAAACCGTAAAGCATCAAAATCGTAATATGAGATTCTCAGCGTATTTTTAATATGAAATAACCTATGCTCCTATGTCATAATGAAAATCGTTGCTGAAGTATAAATATATAATAATAAAAAGGACAATCAAAATAAACATCGAGTGCCTGTTTCTGCGATGCTTGATTCCAACTAACTTGAAAACGAGTCAGCTAGATATGGATCGCATACTCATTTTGCACGTGCACTGGCTGTGTTTATTTATATTTTAGAAAACATTAAATAAAGTTTTTTAATACTGATGTACTTTGCGTTTTATTATCGATTTCTCGGGACATCTCATATTAGGAACACAATTTTTTTACTTTGTGATTTGCTCACTTTTTACATTGCTTTAATTTATAAAAAAATTAAAATTAAAATTAAATTTTATATAACATTAATCTAAAGCTTATTAAGTTCCATTCAAAATAACCTTTTTTTTTATTCTGCTCATAGATTTTTAGCATTTATTCAAAATAAACTCGATATCTCTTTGCTACTGTTCATGGAAGTTCAGACATTTGCACTAGTAAACATGTAAAATGAAAGTTGTAAATGTTAAGATATTATTATAAAATAACAATTATGTTAAATATATTTCTTCTTAAATATATTTTAGAATACTTTTGTACATACTTTATTTTATTATAGATTATAGAATATTAGTAGCATGATCAATCAATGAATTTAAAAAATTCTCTTTATAAAATAAATATAAAATTAAAAATAATTTATAAAGTTTTTGCCAACCATCCCTATCTATAGTGTTAGTACATCGTAGACGTACATCACATTATATGTATTAGTATCTAAAAATAAAAGAATAATATGGTTTTATAATGTACACAATTTTGATAAAAATTCAGATTAGCTGACCCCACTCTTATGATATCGATATGTGTTGTCAAACTCTTGAATAACCTCAGATCAGGTTTTAGCCGCCGCTCGTTATTCAAAAATTTTAAAAATTACTTTCATATTATTAAAATGAATATTAAAATGAATATTAAAAAGTTATTAACAGAAAAAGATCAATAAATAAAACCTAATTTTTTAACACAAAATATATATTTCACTATATTCTATATATATTCTGATATATAATTTATATAATTTACATTTCCACGTTTAACTTTTCGCGAAGGTTCACCTCACACTCGCCTACCTAAGAACGTTGTATCGCATGGAAAGTCATTAGACAAATAGGAAAGGATTGGGACAGTTTTTAATTTGTACGTTGTATATAGTAGAAATAAAACGTTATTTTTTAAACTTTTTTGTTAATAACTTTTTAATGAATAACAAAGCCTAACATCTGTCGAAGGTCATTCAGCGTCATGACTTAACAATATATGCCAAGATCATCGGATCAGATTCCCCTAATTTAAACTTTTACCCTCATTTTTTTACATGACTACATGATAATGTTGATGTCCGAAATTTCATGAGTAGTAGTAATTATGTCTAAAAATATAATTAAAGCTATATATACACTTGTAATTAAATTACCTGTTCACGTAAGGCTATATCACTATTATAAGTGGATAATTCGTGAAGAATTGCTACTGTGTTGTTTATCTGAAATTATATTAATACAAAATGAAAGTTTGTATTGTACTAATATCAAAAATTTTACATACATTCAGCTTACGTAATTTCATTGCTGTC